AATTGAATGGAACAAATTGCATAACTATAGGCATAACGAGACTCGGAAACTGTCTTCGGTGTTATTTAGCACTTTCTTCGGAATTGAGTTCGGAAATTCGAGCTGATGGATCTGTCGAAATAATCAGGTTCGAGCTTACTTACTAACTTTATTGCGATAGCTGGGTGTATAGTGATTTATTCCAATCGGATAAAGTCCAGTCATAACTTCCATCCCAGTCAACGCCATTTTAATCGCATGGGGAGATCGGTCGGACAAGCGACCGAAAAATGGGAAATTCTGGCACGTTGTAACGAAGACGGCCCGCTAGTCCGTTCATGGCAGCTCATTCGGCATGCTGCTGGGTATCTAAAATTTGATGCAGACATTTATCTGCAATCGTTACGTAATCGGGACCTTTTCGACTTCATCGTCGTTGCCTTTGTCGTCGTCGTCGTCGTCGCCATTATTGGCGTAGGAGGTGGTGGAATAGTGACCTTGGCAGGAAGCGAACTGAATACAAATATATTTGTAAAGTCTCGACTTCTGCGGGGTGGATTATTGACCTTATTAGCTCACGTTGTTGTTCCTGTGTTTGTTTTTATGTTTGGAATTTTCTAAGTGACAAATCGACGATTAACGTACAAATACAAGTCTCTAATACACCATAAGAAGGCACGAGACATACAATAGAAGGACAAATCGTGATTGCATGCTATGGTTCTAAACATTAGGTCTGTTCCCTTACTTGCTTTTTTTGCATTTGCTGTTAGTTGCTGTAAAAAAATGATATGCTACGGGAATATACTTTTGCTTTTTGCTGTACAGATTCTTAAATTAAAGCAAGTACGAGAACAAATCAAACTTGTCCAAACACATCAAACAGTGAGTCTAAAGTCCGCTTCATTTAAGGCCCACGCACATTGCATCCGTTAGTGATACGTTTCGGCCAAATCTATTGTCTAACTGTCAGATTTACCACCACGGAACACCAACGGATGCAATAAGAGTGGGCCTTTAAAATCCGGAATCACAGATTATTTTATAGCAGTGTCAGTGTGTTTGGAAAGTGCTCTTCTTTCAATGCTGAAAATGTCGTCACGATTTGTGAAGTTTTCACATAATTGTGTCTGATGGAAGACGAGAGAAAGAATTTTTTCCGAGGTTACTGGAATTTGTCAAGATCCATAAATATTTAGATATGAGATATGAGATTCTAAAGATTGAAATATTTTCAACTAAAATAATGTACACTCAATTCTGATCTGTCGGGATTTTTTTAGTCTCTATTTATGATCGTGTCATCACAAATTGTAATCAAATTTAATGCAACTTGATTTAAAAAATTGTAAAAAACCCAAGTAAAATATGGTGGTATTAAAAATAATGTACCCATCCTGCATCGAAACGGAATAAAATCACGTACAAGCAGAATTGAGTGTATTTAGAATACATAGTTGAACTATGAAGAAGACACAGATAGGAAGAAGACACAGATAGCACACATGGCATTCATTTTAAAGCTTTTCTTCATGTCATGAAAATTTGAGCAATTGAAATCAAATCAAAATAGGCGTAGCAATATTGCCTGTTTTACTTTGAGCGTGTACGTGAACAACCAATCTACATTCAGTCATTCAGTCATTCAAACGACCCGAAACCAAAGGTGGAAAAAGAGGTGGATGCCTAAGAAGGGACTGATTTCCCCATAGGTGGATTTATTTAAGGATTTTGCATAAAGCTCAGTAGAATTTCCACAACATCATCTCAGACACAATTTTTTTTTACAATCAACGGTTTTCATGCTAAAATTTTTTTGAAAAATATAATTGCAAAATCACATCTTCTTCTTCTTCGCATTTCAAGCTTATTGCATATCGCATATTAGCTTATTGCGTGCTCTCAACTTAGTGTTCTAGATGCACTTCCACAGTTATTAATTGAGAGTGTTCGATGCCTGTACCATTTTTGCATTGATATGATTGTGTGGCAAGTCCAATCATACTTCTATGCCCAGGGAAGTCGAGAAATTTTCCAACCCGAAAAATTCCTAGACCGAACCGGGAATCGAACTCAGCCACCTCCAGAATGGTCTTGCTTTGTAGCTGCGCCTTTGCCGACTGAGCTAAGGGAGGCCCATGCGTTCACATGCGCTCTTTTAAAAAATAGTTGTGAGTCGAAATGGTCTCTTGACCTGTGGAAAAAATATAATCTCTTATACCGAAGACATCCTGGAAGATGCAGTCAAAGCGGAGATGATCGTGCAGGATTTTGTTTTTTTTTCTGGCAGGTTTCACCTGGAAATACTCAAGTTATTTAAGGTGATTCCATGCTGAGTCCACAAATGGCCGCTAACTAGGCTATACATGCAGTTCCTCTTCAAATTTTCAAGCACACAAATCTCGGAAATCAGTACCCCATTTCATTTGAAATTAATACTTCTTGTATACTGCAGTACAGAAAACGTGGAGTAATAATTTGAATGTTTAACGTGTCGTAGAAGCTGATATTTGTGCACTTAAAGTTTCGAAGTGGTTCCGAGAATGTCACAGCGATTCACCTTAAATGTTGCACCCATGCATTCCTGTGCGAATTGAAAATTGTTCTGAGGTTTGGTGAACTATATTTCTACGCCACTATTTCACAAAATGATAACCAATCTGCAAACATAATTTTCCACATGCTGGCCATTTATTGTCAACGTCTCACATGCCATTGTGACAGAAAATCCCGTAAATTGGCCATACGAGTGACAATCTACCGAATCACCATATGGTGGCGACACAAAAACCAGAATCAACGGAACAAAAAACCATCATAAATTCACATTTATTATGACATTCGCTGTCAATGTGATGCGTGGCGTCGGGTCAGTTCATGGAATATCATTCCCTATGGCGTTAGAATTGGTATGTACGCCAAATAGCTGCACAGAGGTCTAAACGTGCAATGCCACGAACTTAATGCAGTAGCGGTTTAGTGCTTGACTATACGTTTCGAAATCACTAACGTGTAAACGTGACGGAATCAATCTTTGACATAAATGATGAGACGTAAACAAACATGTCATGTACAATTAAGTGCTCCAAAACTGAAAAGTTCGCTACTCAACGAAAAATATGTTTGATTGAGCTGAATTTTGCGTCGGTTATGACTCATGTCAGTTTCCGAGCACATAAATTAACATTAATTTGTCTAAATGTGTATAAGGTCATAGTATCTTCAGAAAAAAAGAAGATGTTAAGTCACTATATTGAATATTTCTTGAGATAGGGTTACGGGATGCAATGTCAGCCTAGCCCCTTACTTCCGCCTATCAAGCAAATAACTCATTCATTCAGCAATAATGCACAATAGTAATAAAAAGCTAATACCACATCTGCTGTAAAGTTGTAATTCGTAATTTAATAGTCTATTTTCGGGAAAAGTTTTGAACATTTATTGCTCTATTCCAAAGAAAAGAGATTAGTTAAATTTTCTTAATTTTCGATTTTTAGGTGCCATGATTCTGCCGTATTATTGTACTAACGGAAATCAACATCAAAAAACCTGATCATTTCATGAATTGACAGCACTTACCTTTTTGGAACATGCTAGCCCAATAAATCAATATCGCACTTTTCACTCATATTGAACATTTAGAAGATTTAATGCTTTAAGGTGATACTCTAAGCAAGCCTTAGCGTGAAACTTCAAAGGCATAAATGTCAGCTTCCACAAAACATACAAATTTGAAATCGCTTCTCTCTGTTTGTAGTAGCACAGCAAACAAGGAGTAGAAATTTCAAATTTGTATGTTTTGTGGAAGCTGACATTTGTGCCTTTAAAGTTTCACGCTAAGGCTTCCTTAGAGTATCACCTTAAGCGCTTTATAACTATGGACCAAACTTTAGGGGCGTATTTTGAGACGTGTTCCTAATTATGGCCTGCACGCTATTTAAAAACTACCGAAATTTGGGTATAATCCACCCAGATCGGTCAAAACTCAACCTACCCAAAAATAGATGAACTATGTTGGGAGTTACAAGATGACAAATGGACAACATCAACATGAATCCAATCGACTTTGTTCATTTGTCAACGTATCACTCCTAACATAGTTTACTTTTTTTTTAAATAGGTTCAGTTTTGACCGATCTGGGTGGATTCTAACAAAATTTGGGTAGTTTTTAAATAACCATTCGCGTTGACGACGACTCTGTAACCGTTCACTCCCATAGGAGAACCCCATGATCAAATTTCGAATTTCGTGAAACATCGTAGATCATTTCTTATCGTGACACTTTTCGGCCCCGGAACCGCTGTGTCCCAGAAGGAGACCAGCCAAGACCCCAAGCTACTGGTCTAGAGCCGACGGTAACTTCCAGGGTGGGCACACAAAGCCACAAAGATTCCGGGTCTCAGGGCGTTAGGGCGAGGGAGACCGTTCGGATGTGAGGAGACCTAGAAAAATGTGAATTTTGTTACCTTACGCTTTATTCGGCCAGTGATGACAGTGCGGTGCAGAAATCGGGTGTTAGATCTCGGCCCAACGTGCCTGAAGAATACCGAGGTTGGCAGCTCGGACGGGATGACGGGCGGTAGTGCCGCTCTAGACGGTGATCGGGCGGTCGCCAGGAAGGAAATCGATTCTTGCAGCGTTGGTGGCACTGATGGATGCGACGATGGTGGCGGCTATGGCCCCAGCGCTCAACTGCGCCTGTTCACTATTCGGCGTCGTCGACCGCCGACGCTGTACCATGAGTGATGATAGCTTGGTGGATAGCGGACCAGCAGGGCGTGTTCTTGAACCTGGCTACGGCGATGTGACCTTGGTTGTGGGGTCGCCTGGAGCCAGCAGAGGCCGACGTTTTCCGATGGTGTGACGAGGGACTAGCGGACCGCGCTATGGCGCCAGTGGAAGGCCGGTGGGAGGGCGACCGACAAACGGGAAATCCGTGGAAGTAGAACCGGGGATGATCGCTGTACCTGGCCGGTACGTGGGCGGCTTGGCCTGGTAATAGCGGTGGTTGGCGGCCACAATGATCGACTTGCTGCTGGAACTAACAGTCCGCGCTTTCACGGCAACGAGAGGCCAATCCTTGCTAGGCGCTTTGGTGACGACCCGACAAGCACAGTTGCTGGATAACTTTCGGTCCGATAACCCGGACCCGGAGATGATTAGACGGCCGTACTGATACCGGACACTTCACAAACCGCGTGGGTCGAAACGGGGGTCTTGATCCCGAAAACGTCTGTTTTAACTCCAAATTTCATTCGTCCTCGGCAGAGGCTCGCCACTTACTGATCCCGTCGCTCAGTCGGGATCTCTCTCCTCCGTTCTGCTTCGGCCAGTCGTTTGCGATCCTCTCCATCCGCCCACGATCGTAGGTAGCGTAGACCGCTATCAGCTACCTACTGCTATCAGACGGCACACGCGATCCACACCGTCAAAGGTTTTCACATATTTTGGATGTTGTATGTTGAAATACAGTTACTTTTGTTATTGTGAACAATATAAATGCCTAAAATACTTCAATTTTCTTAAATATGAATTGAATAGTGGCGGAAAAAATTAAAAATCATTTTCTGGTTTGTTTACGTTTTGGACATAGGCCCATTTCAAACGTTACTCTAGATTTCAATTCAAGTTTTTCTCTCCGTCGGATTGTACTGAAGTGAATCTGAAAGTATGGAAGCGTATTTATCCGGATCATCGAAAGTTTCCTCCAAAGCCGTAATAACGAAATCCGCAGTAGAATTACTTCAACCTTTCGAAGACATCACAAAACTGTTGAGTCAGGAACAAAAGCCCACGTTTCACCTGATTACGACAGCACATAATCAAATTCTCAAGCACGTGACGATAATGAAAGAGAAAACTAGATCCGAACTTCCTAAGAAATATCTTGAAAAGTGCGAAACCTTATGCAAACGTTATTTGAATACAATAATCATCCACTACACTCAAACAATTCCACACGTTTGATTGAAGTGTTTAATCACTTGATTTTTTAAATGCACAATCACATTTACTTTAAGTGTATTTCACCTTGGTTGAATGTGTTGTACACGTTAATTTCTAGTGTTTCAAACTTTGAAATGTTGAAAATCTTTCACTATCTATTCAAGTGTATTGCACATTGAATCACACTACTGTTCAAAACAGATGGATATAAAGTGTTTTGCATTTCAATACGATGTGAATTGCTTGCTCAGAAAGGTAAACATTAAAAACAACAGTTGTGACTTTATCCTATCAACCCGCCTCATATATGAGAACAACCGTGGCACAGTGAGAACGAAAGAAGACTCCGGCAGCAGCACACCCCAACAGTCCATGATCGAATCCCAAATCAGACCCATTAAAAAGATATGTGAAACCTCTGGCCTCTGGGAGTATTGTTTATATATTTGTCTATTTATTTTTAGAATCGGTAAAGTAGAAGTCGATAAAGTAGAATATTGTAGATTATTGAACTATGATGTGCAAAGCTATTGATATCACCATATGAGGCACATAGAATCCAAGTGTGCCACAATTCAAATCCATAGCACAGACAAACAGACGTAACTCTTTGAAAAACTTGTTCTTGAAAACATAGTATCCCAAAACATATAACCTCAGTAACGACATCTATCTGGCTTCTCGCGGAAAACAAGCTTGCTCGCTAACTCGTAAACAATATTGCATAAAATTTCTATAGAATATATAGAAACGTCAAGTGATCCGATGCCAGCGCTGCGGCGAGTAGTTCGCGGAACTGATAATATTCAGATCAACCGTTAAATGCATGAACGAAGATACACAATGAAGAGTTACGTCTGTTTGTCTGTGTCCATAGTGTTCAGGCATGGTTCATAGCATAAGATTCACACATGAAATGGATGTGTTTCACAATAAGCGCAAAATTAAGTGTGAGACACATGATGATGGCGTGTGGAATTTTTTGAGTGTACTGTGCGACGCTGCCAAAACCAGTGTAAGTATAAAGCCGTGAATAAACGAGTATTTGTCATTAATTTCAATTATATTTCTACTCTTAGATACCGGAAGCTTAGGTTTGCTGATGAGTCCACCAGATCGAGTGTCTGCGGCGAGTTTCGTCTTATGATCGATCGCATTGAGTTGCAGAACGAAACAGTAGCTGCTGCTTCTGACCAACCACAGCCGTTGCCGAAGAAGGCTAAAATTGCTGACGAGGATATAGATTCAGCAAGCGACGAGGAAATTGAAAACACTAAACCAGTACATGAGCTTGATCGATATCTGAAGCACCATTTTACATGTAAGTTTGTGTGGAATAACAATTGAAATTTTTTTTAATATTTTATCTTATAATGTCTTTCAGGGTCTAAACTTGGTGTGTCTCGAATGGAAGAATTTATAGCAGAAGATTTCCTTCCTATCCGCGTATTTCAAAGCTTGCTTTGTGGTTAGTTGCTATGAAAATTTCAGTTTTAGCTGAATAGGATATTTTGGATCGGGCCCGTGCCGGGAACGGACGGGTATTGAGATTTATGATTTGTCGGGCTTGGGTCGGGTACGGGTTTTAGAAAATTTAATCGATCGGGTACGGGTAGGGTACGGGTAAAATAGTTTTCAATTTACCGGTTTCGGATCGGGTACGGGTAATGGTATGTAGTTTGAAGTCGGGTTCGGGTCGGGTACGGGCTCTTGAAAATTTAATGAGTCGGGTATTGAAATTTCCATACCCGACCATCGCTACTACACTGATAAAATTTCAAAGATTGTTTGTATGTGTCCCACACATGAATTCTTGCAATTTGATCAACAAATGATGTTTATGTGTCGGACACATACTTAATATATGTACTCATAAAAGCCATGTATAACCACACATACTATTCATTTGATTCATACATTTCATGTGTGCTTCTGGATGGATTCTGTTTATGTGTGGTCACTTGAAAATCATGTGGAATTTTACATGGAAATTCGTCAATAAAAATGTGTGGAATTCTATTAGTGTATACATGGCCGTGGGGATGCAAAGAGAAAATCTACGAAGAAAATCTGTCAATGTTACTTAGAGCACCCGCACCAATGCGTTGCTAAACCTATTTTAGCAAACTCCACCATAACGCAGTAACCGCACTGGGGGTTGCTATTCAAGTGCGGGAAATAACAATCTGCCTCTCGGTGAACAGCGGGTTGACAAATATAGCAGCGCCATAGCAACCGACCCAAGCGTTGCTATCTTAGTTTTGTTTTTCATTTGAACATTGTGATATATGAATATATTTGGATTTGGGACAAAAATGTGGACCCAAGGGACAGCAAAGCAAGACCCGGAACATCCATAAATGTGGAAAATTGGTAAAAAAGGATCTAGATTTTTTTTCAATCTGCTTGTTGTTATGCTGCATGAATGAATTTGGATTTTTTTTTCCATTCCTGAAGTACTCTCAATTCTATTGAAGTTCTTGGTACTACCCTGAACTAAATATAACTGTCAACAAATTCTCGAAGTTTTTCTGAATTTTATTGAACTGACCGGAATTTATCGGAGCTTACGCATATAAATATTCGAACTTCCCTCAAAGTCTGGAATTTCTTGAATTTCTCGAAGTTATGAAGCTATTGGAAGTACCGTTGATATCTCTGAAATTCCCTAAAGCTCTCTACCCAACTAACAATTTTAGCTGCAGCTCAGCTTATACAGGCAAAAATTAGCTGCATAAGGCAAATTTTGGCAGTATAAGCTAATCTGCAGCTAAAATTGTTTGTTGGGTAGTTTAACTTATTTGAGGTACTTGGAAGTTTTTTTAAATTTCATTATTCCTCGAGAGACTTCCCTAAAGTTCTATGGATATCCCTGAATTTCTCATGCTTTCTTAAAAGTTTCTGTAGTTTCCTGAAGCTTTTGAAACCACTTTAAAAAATCTGAAGTTTGCCTGAAGTTCACAAAAATTTCCAGAAATTTTGCGGATCTTACCTTTTGTTTCCGCAGTTTGCCTATGAACCTTCCTGAAATTGTCAGTACTTCTTTTCATTCCTTAGACTCTTCTGAAGATCTATATTGTTTCCTGAAGTTTACAGAACTTCCCTTGTGTTTTCCTGGTGATGTTCCTGAAATTGTTCAGAAATTAATGGAGCTGCCCAGAAGATCTTTAAATTTCAATTTAAACATAGATCTTTTGTGTAGCTTCCTTAATGTTTTTGAGTTCATTTCCTGAAGTTTCTTTTTCTATCTTTAAATTTTCAGAACTTCTTGATGGTTTCCTCTATTTTAATGAAATAAATGAGTTTGCGATAAAGTTCTCGAAGCAAACCTTAAGTTTTAGGAACGTCCCCCAAGTTCTCACAGTTTTCCTGATATTCATGAAACTGCCATAACATTTTCAGAACTTACCCGAAGTTCATGTAACATACTTGAGCTTAAATTTTCCTGAATTTAATGGAACTGCCCTGAAGCTCTTGATCTTTGCTGAAGTCTCTTCATCAGTTCTTACGCGAGAAGTGAAAGTGACGTGGTTACGTATGAAAGATAAGAAGTGAAAAATAAGCGCGATTTCACATGCCGAACCTTTGTAGATCGAGGTTCATCTTCGATTGGACGAAGTTGCATCCATTTATAGACCCAATTTGAGTACAGTAAACCGATATTACATCCACGTAATTGGAATGTATCCATGTTACAATGGTGAGATTAAACAATATTTAGTCATGCCTAATCAATATCCAAATAATAAGAATATCTAAGCTTACATGTTGACAGTGAAATACCGATTGCTGCTCAATTATTACATAAGATACGGCATAAAATGTAATTGAAGGTTTATATTAGACCGAGGTTAGGGTCATATACCCTATAAGACGTTTTTAATGGCAACCCCCTTGATTTAAGTTTTTGGCTTGTAAATTTCACGAGTCAGTTTGGTTCAAAAGATATAATCAATTCTAACATTTTTAAACCCTTCTTCTACTGTGAATAGTGGAGAATGGGGGGAAGCCAGGACGTTCATGTTGGTGCATAATGAAGCTTGAAGCTAGTACCAACCGATGGAAACTAACCTATTAACGTACCGCATTCTAGTTGAAATTCTAGTACTACACTATGTTTGTTTTGATTCGCTATGAAAGCTTGACAGATAAAATGAGGGGTTCGTGGATTTTCCTATGTTTCGAGGGGGGGCATCGATTAGCTTGGGACCAAAGATAGTACCAGAGCTGAGCCAAAAAGTTGAGCACGTTTCTTCAGGACCTTCTGGTCTTAGAGTTACCTCTATGCTAGTACTACAGAAATTTTATAGAGTTATTCGCCCGACTCGCCAAATTGTGAAGAACGAACGTTATTAACAATTTAGAATTCAGCAGTGCAAGCTCGCTGATCTCATTTACGACAGGTAGGTATGGGTGGACCACAGCAAAATTAAAAGCCTAATAAATTTATGCACAGAGTTCTAAGAGGCAATTCAAAGAAAACTTCCCCAATTTTTGCGAATTTGTTGCCCCACTCTGTGCACAAATTTATTAATCATACCCGTAAATGAGAAACACCGTTGGAGTAAAGATAGTCTCCCGGCTCAGACATATTTAGTCGTCAACGCCAATGGCAAAGTAACTTTTTGGTCAAAAGCTCAAAAGTTATGCTGAAGCAACAAAGAAGTGGCCGACAAGCAGAAAAAAAATAAACATCCACATCTCTCTCTCTTGGTGGATTTTGATGGATTGGGTCTGCAGAAAATTAACAGCTGCGGAAAAGTGCTACAGGAAAAAGTTTCATCTTGTTGTGCTGTGTTTGTGATGGATCCAAACGAAGAAAGATGATTGTGCCGGTTTAGGGCATTCCTCTGGTGTGTCCTGTGTGGTAAAATCAACTGTCATCACCCTCTCTCGGTCGTGTCTGCCATTGTTGAGTCAGAGTAGCGCAAAAAGGCATTATACGATAAGCAACAGTCGCATTCTGGCACGTTTACCTTCGAACCTAATTAGTTTCTCATCTTGGGGCCAGAGAGCGTGACATGAAGAACGGGGTTTTTTGTTGATGTATTAGAATTATTATTAAGATTATAAGCATATTGGGCAGTTCCAGGAAAAATTAGTGAACCGACCTTCTCCGATTTGTACGAAACTTTGCGTAATTGTTTGTTATGGGAAATGATTCACAATTTTGCTTAAATTCAGACGTTCTATTTAGATCTTGTAGAACTTTCAAAATGGCATCTTTGAAATGTTTCAAAAATGTAGCAAGAAAACGGCATTTCCGATCGAAATGACGTCTGAGACAAAGACATCACGTCTTTTTGAGAAAATTAAACTAAAAATGTTTGAAAATTTTACAATATTCAATAAGATCGAATTTAAGAAAAAAAAGTGAATCATTGCCCATGACAAACAATAATGCAAAGTTTCATGCAAATCGGGGAAGGTCGAGTTTTTCCGATTCGTCATTTAGCGTGTCTGTATCGTATAAACTGACCTAATTTCAAAAAACTGATTGTTCGCAAAAACTGTGTATATCGTACAACGTAACTGAAGGAATGACCTGGGTGCAGTAGTTTCGATGTAATATCCAACAGCTTATTTAATATGTACACACACATACATACACACATATTTTTCCAACTCATCGATCTGAATCCCTACCTAGGATCGTGATATTGTTGCCACACGAGAAAGTCAAAAACATACTCAATTGAAAAGAAATTCTGCCATACATATTTAGTAGAGTGAATGGTCACCTGGGGCATCAAACTCTGAAATTTGGAGTCATGAGACGCAATTCTGAATACGGATCCAAAGCTGCCAGACGTCCAAGCAGGGAAAAAAATACATGAAATTGGAAAGGTGTGCACCTTTGTGAAGAACACGGTACGTGCTTTAATTTTTCATCTTTTCATCCATCATAATCTTGGATCCAGAATGGTTCACCATTCTCTCGGGTAAGTAGCCAAGGTTGCAGCTTCTCATTCTGTTCCATTCATTTGGCCGAGGAGTGCCTCTCGTTGGTGTTATTGCATGATTATATTTTTTTTTCGGGGTGAAGTGGATGGTAAAAATAGCTTTCTCTCGAGTTGAGAACCGACTTGAATAACTGGGTTTCGACTGACAGACTGACAGAAAAGTCACCACCGTGTAGCACCGTTATTCATTTGGGGTTGTTTTCTGTGGCTGTGACAGAGAGAGATTCGTCCGTGACTGAGGGTTCTGTAGTTTATCTCCTGGCGAAAACGAGAGGCACTGACGGAGAAAGCCACTCATGCAGCAGCCATGAGTTAAGTACCGTTGCTTTTGATGACAATCTTTGGAAACACACATCTG